GGCCCCATGATGTAAAATTTTCAAATTGTTTGAGCTAGATTTGGGATTTAAGTGAAAGTTGATGATTTTTTATGAGACAAAAAAAAGTTCGGCAAGAATTGTCATTCAAGATAAAGTTTGTGCTTTTTTTTTGGAAATAAGCCTAATTTTCGTATGGCGCTTACTTGAATGTCATAACTTATTTTTCGATCACTTGAGTGTGATCGGTGATTTGTAGGGGTGAGCAGTTCTTGGTCCGATCCGGTCCAACCCAAGAGCCGAGAACCGGACCGGGAGGACCGATTCCCAGTTTCTAGGATCGGGGATCGGTTTGGTCCAGTTTGGTCCGGTTCCAATGGGACTAATCACTTATTAATAAATGCAAGAGGGAATTGGGGAAATTAGATTAGGCCTTCTATTTTTTTTCAAAAATTTTAAAAGTAAATAAATAAATATATATAAAAAATTAGAAAAATATATATTTATCGGTCCGGTCCGGTTCGGTTGGTCCAGTTCAGTCCGATCGGTCCGGTTCCCACTCAAGACCGGGAACCGGAGCGCCCTGAAACCGATTCCACTTTTAGGAACCGGAAACCGGATCGATATTCCGGAGAACCGGACCAAACGGATCGGTCCAGTCCAGTCCGGTCCTGGTTTGGGCGGTCCATTTTGGTCACCCCTAGTGATTTGTGTAGCTGAAAAATTTGATGTGGCATTAATTTAATATAAATCGTTCCGACATGGCTCGCCAATGAAATGAAATCGGCAAAATAATGCATAAACGAAATCACGTGGCCCATTTGTTTGCTTCAAGTTAACGAATTGGGGCAAAATCACAAATGTTCTTCAAATTCCAACCCTAAATTTAGTAGTTGGGGCAAAATTAAAATCGTCTTCAGTGTTTTGAAATTTGAATGGCTTGAATCAGTCTTCTTCACCGTTTATACTTGAGCGTGCGCTCCCTCTTTTACATGAAGCCGTTCCCTCGGCGATGGCGAACTCTGTCTGTTGGAGCTCATGGGGTTAGTAGTTTTAATAGTGGCTATGGTGGAGAAAACAAGAGGCAATATAAAATTATTGAAACAAAACGTGAAAAATTTTTGGGAAGAGAGAGAGAATTCTTCTTCAAGCGTCGTCGTTTTGGAGTCCTAATCGCCATGTCATTTCGTTCATTGTCCACTTTGGACTTGAATTTTTTTTTTTTATAAAAGCCGTGTTGGACTTAAAATTTTATTCAAAAAGCCACAAAGATGAATAGCTGGAATTTCCCTTTGGAGGCATTCAAGTGAATGGTGTTTAACCGATGTGACATTCAAGTGATCGAAAAAAAGTTATGACTTTCAAGTGAGCGTCAAACGAAGATATGGTACTTGTGGTGTCATTTTCTCGATCTTTGGCTTATTTTTATTATTCAAACTCAACAAACGTAAATATCTATTTTGATATAATAAGACACTATTGCTCCGTTTGTTACGCAGGAAATGTGAAATTTCTAGTAAAGGTTTTCCAAGAAGTCACTTTATTAGAAATTTGTAATATTTTTCGATGTTCAGTTAAAATTTAAAAAATAAATTGGAAATTATCTTTTATAGTTTGGAAAAGAAAACTTGTTTTTGTTTTTTTTAAGACATGTCTATTCGTGCTCACATCAAGCGGTTAGGTATATGAAGCGTACATTCATTGACGCAAGCTGTGGAAATGAAATTGGCCAAAATGGTACTAAAAGGGGAAAGTTATACAAAAAGTCTTAAACCTATTGCATTTTTGTCATGTTAGTCTTAAACATTTTAATTGTACCAATTCAATCTTAAACCTTTCCGAATTTTGCCAATTGAGTCCATTTGACTAATTTTGGCCGAAAATCGCTCATATGGACAGCGTTCGTTCTACGTGACACGCAATGTATTGACGTGGATAATTTTTAATATTTTTCAATTTATTTTATTTTTTTCCCTTCCTTCTCTTTTCCTTCTTTACTTTTTTCTTATTTTTCCTTTTCTCTTATTTTCTTTTTTTTTCTTTTTTTTGTTTTTACCTCCGTCGGCCATTGCTGGGCCTTGTTGATGGCCAGCAGCCGGCCTCAGGGGAGGGTCACCCTCGGGCAAGAGACGCCTGGGACTGGGCTAGCGAGGGTTGCCTTTGCCAGATCGGGTGAGGGGCGCTCTCTTTGGCCTAGCGAGGGCAGCCCTTCGCTAGATAGGGCGAGCTTTTGCTCTTGCTAGCCCAAGCAAGGGCAGCCCTCACTAGGGGCTTGGTGATGGCCGGTGGAGGGAAAAAGAAAAAAGAGAAATAGAAAACAAGAAAAAAGTAAAGAAGGAAAAGAGAAGGAAAAAAAGGAAATAAATAATTCAAAAAAATATTATTAAAAATTGTCTATGTCAGCGTCAGTCATGCCGAATATGACAGCCGACATCTATGTTAGCAATTTTCGGCCAAAATTGGATAAATATATTCAATTAACAAAATGCGAAATAATTTATGATTTAATTGACATAATTAAAGGTTTAGGACTGAATTGGCAAAAGTACAATAGATGTATGATTTTTTGGACAATTTTCTCCGTTAAAAGTGGTTGGGCCACTTTCAATTTTCTTTATAATTAAATTTATAGCAAAATATGGGCTACATATATTGTTTTTCTAAAAAAGTACAAGGAAGTGTTAAATATTTAAGATTATGGATATGTTATAGGACTTTGAATATAAGCTATTCAATCGACCCCTTATAATATCATATACTTATGACTTTCGATCAACGGCTGCAGCAAAATTAAATTAAGGGTGATATTGAATTATCTTAGGACAGCCTAGCTTAGAGGAACAACATAATGGAATTTTACTTTACACATCCCGTCTCTTTCATTTTTACTTCCTCTATAACAATCTAGCCTATTTTACGTGGGCAAAGTCTCCAAAAGAAGTACTTTAAGTGTGCGAATGATAACCATTATGTTTCCCTTATTTTAGATTTTTTTGTTCCTGAAAACAGGTTTAGAACCGAAATTTGTTTGACAATGCAACTTCATTTTTCTTATTTTCTAGACAAATTTTTAGCTTAGAAATAGGTTTGGAACAAAAATGAGAAATAGATTTTCATTACGTTTCTCTTTATGAAATAGAAATAGAAATAACAACTCTTCTTATCGCTCGCTCTTGCCGCTGCCCCACGCCGCTAGCGACTGCTACTCGCCGCCACCGCCGGGAATATAAATTTAAGAATAACCTATCTAACGTGTCTTTTGGGACAAAGACGCGTTAGATTTTGAGAATCGCCTTCTCTACTAATAATAAATTGCTGAAACCACCGTTCGATGATATATATATAGAAAATCATACTCGACCTTTCGCCGAAGGAGGGGCCGCTTTCATATTTTTACTTTTGAAAATACCAAATATACATGAGCTTTATTTTTGGAGACCTCTTTACTCATTCACATCTATCATCCTTGTCTCCCGATTAACGAAAATAAAAAAAATGTCTATCTCCAGGATTCTAAATTTTCACGCCCACCTAAAAACACTTAAAACCAACTTAAAATATATTGGGAGTGTGGTTCATACTCCCCTCCATGAATAGCTATGGAGTATATATTGTCTCTTTCTCTTATAATTGAGGGATGCAATAGAGAGGTGCAATGTGCTAATTTTTGTGAAATCCTCTGCTGAACGTAGCTTAGTTTAAGGGTGAATCAAGATTAAAACCTTATGTCTTGATTTGCTTTTCTCTCTTTTATTCTCTATTTTCTTGTGATTATACGCTGAATCCTAACAAAACAAAACTACTAGAAAATAAGCAAGATGGGCAATTTGATCTTTTCAATGTACGGTATTATTTAAAGATACGTGAATGGTATTTACTGAAATGGAGATATATAAATGGTCATTGAGTAAAAAATGAGGTATATACTTGATATTTTCTCAATACATAGTACCATTTAGAGAAAGTTGGTTTTTACCACCGGTAAAAGGCCATAAAAATGTTTGGGGAAAGTGGAAGTTTCATTTGGTGATTAAAATATTAGTAAGTGGACACTTTGGAAGAATTACTCGGGATGAGCGGGGCGGAAGTAAAGATAATTAAGGTCATCACGAGAAGCCAAATTGGAATGAAGCGACTGGAAGAAAGTGCCCCAAAACAGCTTTTTCTTTCACCTTAAAGGGAGGAAATTTAGATTAGAAGATCTTGCACTTTAAAAACGCCTTAAAATTTAGGGTTAATATCATAAAAAACTCTAAATTGGTACATTTGTAACAAATTTACTCAAAATTAATTTTTTTATCACAAAAAACCCCAAACTAATATTTATAAGCATCTGTTATTTACAGATCACCGTCACACAAACATTACGCTATGTGGTATGCTATAGTATTATGAATTACAGTAGTACACCTTACAGTCTTGCTACAGTACCTTATAAATTTCTTTATGAAGGAAGGAATTCAACAAAGGAAGATGCACGCAAGTCTTTGAAATTGAAAAAACAGGAGAAAAAAATGGGAAGAGAATACTTGCTTGGCGAGTGTTTAGGGTTTTCTTGACTTGTAGTATCCTTAGGACGTATCACGTCTCTTCATATCCGTTCGTGACTACCATCATTAGGGTTTTGGATAGTGAGAGTTTGTTCTTGAATCTCACCGTAATTCTTATTGATCGGAGAGTGAAGTAACTCCTCCTTTGTCCACGAATGTAGTTAAATCGCCAAACTACGCAAACGCTTGTTTCTGGTTTTTCTTTATGACTTGTTCCAAATTTTCGATTATCTTAATTTGTTCGCAATTGCACACTCTGTATCCACTTTCTCCCGACATGCAAAGAACAAAGTGAACAATCATATGCATTTCAACTAGCACTACTTTTCGATGTTTATCCTTATTCATGGAGCATAGACACCTATAAAAGCACATAAAATCTGAAGGAAAGGCTCATCATACTTGATCTTGATCAAGATGATTTGTTATCAGTTGTAGCTGCACATAATTAGAGTACACAACATTGTCATTAACCCTTCTTCCATCGGGAGTTTTATTCTTTCCAATGGTTGAGATCCATACATAATATGGATACTTCTCAGCACCCAATGGAAACTATAAAGGAAAAAGCATCATCTGACAAACAAAAATTCATCCAGAGAAAATATATTTTCCAAGGACCGTACTAAGACCAATTGAGTTGATCCCAATCCCATATAGGTTCTTCCATTTCCATGCTAGTCGTCTCCATGGAACGGGAAATTCCAGCATTATTTTCTTTCACTGATCCTGATGGTGGCGCGGATTTGCTGCCGCTGCCACCATCACCATCTACACCTTGTATTGTCTCTCCAGCCACCAACTCCAGAGGCCGACGATCAAATGCTCGGGAGCACCCGGACACAACATACACTCGGCACAACGTGAAATCATGCCTCAACTACAGCGTATCGAGGGGAAAAAAATGAAAACAAATTAGTTGCTCCCGGAGAGAAAATGAGAAAATGAATGTCTTCTTATACACTAGTATATAACAATGGCAAACTAAGCTAAGCGCATAATCATTTTAATTTACCAGCGCTAATCTTAATTTCATCCAACTGAGCCTCTAATAGGTGGGTTATAAATATGAACATAAACTCACGTGCAAACTTAAAACAAATCTGGTAACATTCATTAGTGTAACCTACTGGTCAAAATTACGGTTTCTCCAATTAAGGAAGAAGAAAAATATGACTCATCTATTCAATTGCATTGACTAAAAACAGAGGTGAGGGGTACGCACGCACGTTTAACATATTACCCTAAACTCAATAATCGATTAAGTAATGCATACAAAGGTCCAAGACTGATCATGCAATTAACTAAAATGAAGATCAAGATTCGATTAGCTCATGCTTGCGCTTACCCTAAGTATGGGCATGCTAGAACCTGAAGAATTTGAATTGGGAGGTGAGATTATTTCTACGGCTCTATACTCGTTCAATTTCCATTTGGTTTTTCTTCCTGCTGGAGCTTTTCCCACGTAAAAGACCATGGACTTCTTCATCCCGATCACTTTGTTGTCCGTTGAGTAGACGTATGCGGGAGACCCGGTTGCCTTCCAGTAACCCACAGCTGTGCTTTTGCTTGGTCTCCCTCCTCTGGCTTCTCTCTCCTGCATCGGAGCGAAGAAGAACCATTGCTCTTTGTCTTCTCGGCACAGCTCTCCTGAAAGCTCTGCAGCAACAAAACACACAACACCACAAGAAAAGTCTAAACCCATGATTTCTTTCGGTGGTAATGAACGAGAAACATGGAGAAACGAAGAAATGCCATGCATGATTTCATGTTCTTTAACCTGGGAGGTTCCATGGCTTGGTGGCGTAAATGTCAAGGACCGGAATGATCCGGTGGAGCTGGTCATGTAGCAAGCCCTCGAGCTGGTGGTGCAAATAGAAAGAGACGAGCTCTTCTTCCGTTGGATAGAACCTGAAGCCTGTCGGACGATCCTCCATCATATTTCTCTTTCACTATATCCTAGGGTTCTAAGATAAGGAAGCGATCGGGTGTGTTGTACTTGACAACAGAACTGTTAGCTTGTGTTTTAGACAACATAATGGATCTGGACTAGACCTATATATAGAAGTGGACCACTTGGTCCATAAAAGAGGAAAAAATTTTAGCGTATGCAATGAGTCAATAAACAGGATTGAAAAGGAAAAATTTTTAGGTACATTATATTTTGGTTCATTAAAGTCCATTTGGTGTGGCTCTCTTTTTTAATTTTCCACTTTTTAACATTTGAGAGTTGCTTTATTTGGTAACAAACGCTTGAATTTTATCGTTAAAAACTCGTTCATATGAGCTTTTCTGATTGTTGGCTAGATTTTGTGTCTCTTTTAGTTCATAGAAAATGAACTTTACTGAAAAATATTTTCAAAAGAAAACTATTTTAGAAAAATGGTTTAATATTCCTGTGTTTGGTTGCCTTTTGCAAATAAGATAGAAGTCGTTTTCTGATATTTGGTATCAGAAACTTTTGAAAAACTTTTTTTGAGAAAAAACAAACCTCGAGTAGAGCCCTTGGGATCTGGGTGCAGAAATCGAGGTCTCGAGTTTGGGCGGTCGAGACCTTGGATGTGAGGCATTAGGGTCCCCGAGATCCAGGTGTCAAGGTTCATGGTCTGTTAGCTGGGTGCTTGTGTTAGAACACTCAAGATGACCTCATCTTGGGAGAGATCATGTTGTAAATGATTTCTCACTTTCAAAATAGCAAGTCAGTTTTCCGAATCTATATTTGATTTTTTATTTGACTATCAATAGATTTTCCATTACTGATTTCCTAAGTGATTCAAACTTCGAAAAAAAAGAAGAAAATATATTCTTAACGTTAATTTTCGCAAAAACAAAATTAGCATTCATCTCGGAACGTCAAACTAATTAACGAGGGGCCCTTTTAAATTGTGAATCATGATTGACAGGATCACCATCCACACTCCACAGAAAGAGACACAAAATTCAACATGGACAATAGCTGATGGCATTAACATGTTAGTTCGCATCTCAATTTCCACTTATGTACACTGAAAAGGTTGAAAAAGCACAACAATTTCGGTGGAGGTTGAAATGTGTAAACAACCATCATTTAGAAATTGCTAAGTAAGGATACTTTCCCCATTCAGTCTAGGGGTAAGCGGGAACTTAGATCCTACTAAAGAACACGTTCCTCATTTTTTGAAACTTGGAACCTATCATATATATCTTGGAATTTGAAACCTACCCTATCACAAATTTCAGGTTCCACCTGTATTATTAATTGACCATTTGTAGTAAATCATCACCTTTAATAATCATCACTTGCTGTTACGATCCACTGACCACAACTTATATTTAGATATATGAAGAATATGAAACATTAACAAGTTATAAAATGAAAGTTGAGACTTGTGGTTCCAAATTATACACTCATCATTTAACGCCATGGAACAACGCAGAATCACGCGAAGACATAGATTAAGAAAAAACACAAAAAACTTGTTTAAGGTTTCAGATTCCAAATTCCACCTACTTAGAACCTGAAACCTACCCGTCAAAATAAGTTCCCTAATTTTTGAAACCTAGAAACTACTCTGCATATCTTGAAAACTAGAACCTATAAGTTTCTACCGGTCAGGTTCTCAGGTTTCAAGTTCTACCCTGTAATCATGCTCACCTCTAATTCAATCTGCATAGCATGTCCCCTTTCGCACATCATGTTTCTCATCGGAAACATTCCGGCGGAGGGAAATGAACAGAAGAACCAAGAGAGAGCAAGACAAAGAGAAATAGGTTTCTGTCTTCGACTTCCAAAACATTAGGTGTCTGACAACGATAACAACAAGAAGAAGAAGACAACAACAGTAATATTCTTCGTCTCCCACCACATAGTCAACCTCGTCTTCACTGTCTCGCCAGCTTGCTCCCGACCCTAATTTTTTTAATGCGGTGATATGATTACTTTAGTCAGTCTCTATAGTCGGCTCATCTAATCACATGTTCACACTCACGAAAATTATATCATTGGATCTTCCACGAAGCTGAGAGCTTTCTTAGATTGGGATGTGATGATTGTTTCTCAACACTCCTCGCATTTCAAGTGGCTTCGGCCTAGGGGTGGAGGATAGAGATAGGAGTAGTGTTGAAAGAGGAGTTCAACTGATTTATGCTAACAGTTTTTATGCCTAAAATTGTACAAAAAATCTTAAATCTGTTACGCTTTTGTCAATTCAGTCAATAATATTTTCACGTTTTGTCAATTGAATCTATTCGGCCACTTCTGACCGTAAATTGCTGCCGTGGACATCGGCCGACCCTCCATCCTATGTGACACGACCGGCATTGACGTTGATAAAATTTAAAAATATTTTAATATTTTATTGAATTTTTTATTTTATTTTTATTTTCTTCTATTTGCCTTCATTACTTTTTCCTCTTTTTTTTTACCTTTTCTCTTCTTTTCTTTTCTTTTTCCCTTTGCCAATCATCGCCGGACCTCATCAATGGCCAGCAGAGGTCGCTTGACTCAAGCAAGGGCCACCCTCACCCAGTGCCAGCGACCTTGGCGAGCCATCAATCCAAAAAAAAAAACCAAAAATAAATTATTAAAATATTATTTTAAAAATGTCTACGTCAGCGCTGGCCATGTCATATAGGACTGCCAGCTTCCATGTTAGTAAGTTCTGGCCAAAATTGACTAGATGGACTCAATTAGCAAAATATGAAAATATTTAAGACTCAATTGGCACAATTAAAAAGATTATGACTTAATTGGCACAAGTGTAATAGGTTTATAACTTTTTCGATAATCATCCCTATAGAGAGAGTGCAAGAGGTTCAGCGATGTTAGTGATTTTTTAATGTCTGATCGAGGTGCTTCGATGAGGGCTCATCATGGTGTGGGGATGGGCTAGTAGCGTGCACACAGCTAATTTCTTTTCCATTGCATGTGGGTGTGAAGTAACAAATCAATGTCATTAAGCCTTTGCATGGCAGTGGAAGAAGCATTACCAAATGTCCTCAATAGGTAAGGTTGATGGTGCGAAGATTCAAGTGTTTCACTCCTTTGGTGCGTTACCCACTAATGCTTTATTTATCACAATGTATAGATGAATACGTGAAGGAGATCGTAATAGGGTAGATTTGTAGCCCCACTCAAGTTAGAACATAAAACACAGAATTCCTCCATTTAACGAGGATAAGACAGAACAGAAGAAAATAATTTTCGCTCGGTCAAAATCAAAATATTCAAATCAAACCTAAGTGGGCGTTAGGCGATGATATTCTAATTAAAGCACAAATTAATCAATCAAATGCTGACCATTATAGTACTCCAAGTAGAAATTTCCATTATGACGATGTTGTTCAAAGTTCGATATCAAATTACCCAGAAGTTGCTCTTTTTCTTGTGTTTTGGTCGAACCCAAAAGTTGCTTCAAAGAGTGCTTCGCCGCAAGAAAATCAAGAGGTTCACACGCGGCAGCCGAGGACGTCATCTGGGATCGTGAATACACGCCAACAATCAGAAAGTGGTAAGGCCAAGACGTCAAATTTAAGGTAGTGGCGAATTTTCATTGAAGAAAAATGATTCTAAAGTGCCCTTTCATGTCGCGTTGTGAGTGGACGCTGGCAATTACAGAGTCAAAGAGACGACTCTTGGACCCTCTTGAAGACACGCTCTATCTCTTCTTACATTACAAAAAAAAAAACCGCGCGTGCAGATTATTAAAAACATGTCATTGGTTGATATACTTAAGTGCGAAGACAAGGAAGCTTCCGTAATTGTCGCCACCTTCCCTTCGCATGAATCACGTTAGGGTTTGACTAATGAATTATTAAATTTACATCCAACTTGGACTCTCTCAAGCTCGTACTAATTCTCAACTTAGATTCAATCTTTAACATACAAATCAATTTAAATTTTGGAGTCGCCACTAATCAGTTTTTGATCAATCGATTAGAAACCCAAGTAAAGTGTGGAGAGTATTTTACTTTTACGAACCAAAATAGATACGGAGAGTAGAGGTGAGTGCGGTTCCAGGGTAAAATCGGGAACCGGACCCGGTGGATCCGGTTCGGTTCCAGGTTCCATGTACAGAGGGTCCGGTTCCCGGTTCCACATTTTTAGGAACCGGCTGTTCCGGTTCCGATTCTCGGTTCCTATAGGAACCGAAACCTGGAACCGGAACTGGAACCGGAACTTGGAACCGGAACCTGGAACCGGAACCGGAACCGGAACCGAAACCAAAAACATAAACTTAGTATTTAGAAACCCTAATTCCCAAATGCTCCCTTCTCCTCCTAAATCACACCTGGTCCTCCATCATCGTCCCTCCAAAGCTCCCTCCCGCTTCCGCTTCCGCCTCACTCCTCGCTCCCGCTTCCGCTTCTGCTTCCGCCTTGCCCTCGCTTGCTCCCGCTTCCATACTCTCCAGCTTTGACCCCGCTTTCAAGAACCATGCTTTCTCGCCTATAGATTCGAAAGGAAGCACTTCGCTCTCAGTGGCCTCTCCATCTTGGTTTCGAGCCATTGGAACAAGCTTCCGCAAGACCGTAGAAGAAAGATCCGAAGCTCCGGGAGCCGGAGACTTGCCTTTTCTCTTGCTCCAAGGGCTGTTCTGTTTCGGATTTTACCCATCTTCTTGCTGATTCTTGAGGTGACCCAAGTGTTTTTAAGTGTTGGGTGTCACTGATTTAAGTCGAGGTACGGAATGTAGATCTTTTCGGTTGCTAAACTGCAGATTTTGGTGCTTGTCTATGGTTTTGTGGGTCTGTTTGTTTTGATTTGAGATTTGCTTCTGGGAGTTTTGGGCTTGCTGTTCTTGGTGATTCTAGCTAGTTTAAGAGGTCAGTTAAAGCTCAAAACTTCTTAATCCTTAATTGAGAGCTGCAACTCCGAAGTGAAGTGGGTTTGCAAGAATTTTTGCTTGAGATGTGAGTGAATGGAAACTCAAGAATGCGGAGGCAATTATATGTTGGTTTCAATTGGCAGTTCACGAATTGTATGAGC